TTCTCAATGCCCTCCCTACTAACCCTGTATTCCATAACTGTTCATCTCTCCATACAGCTGTTGTCCTCCTGCTTTCACTCTAGTTGTCCTAAATTCTAGTCTTTGCAAAGTAATAAGATAAATCCCTAAAAGACATAAATTTGGTATGCCTTTTAGAATAAAATCCAAAATTCTAAACTTGGCCTATGTCATGGTGGTAGTGGCTGTGTGCCGTGAAGTCGGTTCCAACTCATAGCGACCCTGTACAGGGTTTCCGAGGCTGTAAATCTTTACGGGAGCAGAAAGCCTCATCTTTTTCCTGTGGAACAGCTGGTAGTTTTGAACTGCTGACCTTGCAGTTCGCAGCCCGATCTGTTACCACTATGCTACCAGTGAAGAGGACTTGAAACCAGTGAAGAGGACTCTGCTGAAAGTGAAGAGGACTTGAAACATTTACTGATGAAGATCAAGGAACACAGCCTTCGGTATGGATTACATCTCAATGTCAAAACAAAAATCCTTACTACTGGAGCAATAAACAACATTCTTATCAATGGAGAAAAGATTGAAGTTGTCAAGGACTTCATTCTTCTTGGATCAACTATCAACACTCGCGGAAGCAGCAGTCAAGAGATCAGAGGACGTATTGCATTAGGCAAATCTGCTGCACAGGAACTTTTTAAAGTGTTGAAGAGCAAAGATGTCAGCTTGAGGACTAAGGTGTGCCTGACCCAAGCCATGGTATTTTCAATAGCCTCATATGGATGCGAAAGCTGGACAGTGAATAAGGAAGATCGTAGAAGAATTGATGCCTTTGAGGTGTGGTGTTGGAGGAGAATACTAAAGGTGCCATGGACTGCCAAAAGAACCAATAGATCTGTTTTGGAAAAAGTGCAGCCAGAGTGCTCCTTGGAGGCCAGGATGGCTAAGCTTTGTCTCTCATACTTTGGACATATTGTCCGGAGGGAACAGTCACTGGAAAAGGATGTCATGCTGGGTAAGATGCAGGGTCAGAGAAAAAGAGGAAGACCCACAACGAGATGGATCTGCAGGTGGCATCATTGATGGCATCGAGTGTGGCAGCGGTAGTGAGGTTGGCCCAGGATCGGGCATTGTTTCGTTCTGCTGTGCATGGGGTCGCTACGAGTTGTTTATGACTCGATGGCACCTGACAACAACAACAACAACAACAATGCTACCAGAGCTTCTATGTCATATGTCTATGTAAACTTATTCCCAGTACTATTCTCTTCGCCATTCTTCTCAACCACTGCCCTTCTTGCTATAAAGCTATTTACCGTCTTATACTCTTCACCATGCCAAGGGACTTTGTTTTCCCCTCTACCTGGGATGTTGTTTCCCCAGGTCTTCACATAACTTCTCCCTTACCCTTCAAGTTCCTTCATACCATTCCATAAAAAACAAAAAACAAAACAAAACAAAAAAATTGTTCTCATTCTCTTTGCATCTACCCTACTTTGTTTTTCTTCATAATACCATCACTGAAGATATGAAACCATATCTGTAATTTGGTACATATCTGCGGTCTCTCCTTTCCCATAAGATCCTTAAAGGAAGAATTTCTATGAATCACCAGTGTCTCCCCATGCCACAAAAGTGTTTTCCAGTAATTACAAGCTCAGTACCTATTATGTTGATGAAGGAATGCATTATCGAATCAAATTATTCTTCGAGAAGGACCATATGTGGTGTTGTTTTTAAGCATCATTGAGACAGTTCTGACTCAGAACGACCCTTTATAGGATTTCCAAAAGGCAACTTTTAGCATTTAATTTTTCAGATTAAACTGCTATCATAGGATTTCCTCAATAATATTGCCTGAATGAATTCACTGGACCCATAACCTTAGGTAGACAAGAAGTGTGTAAATTTTTCTTAAAACCAAATAAATTTATCAAATATTCCTGATTATAATCAATGTACATCACTTGAGTTGCTGTTGAATTTAATGTAAAAGATCATTAATTAATGTAATGTAAAAGTTGAATCAATGGTTGGCCAGGAAAGGTATATTTTAAGGAGAATTTTCAGTGATTCTTCTGCATGCTCAAATCTGAGAATCACTTTCTGGAGATTAGGGTTTATTTCATGTTTGTTTCTCATGGCTATAATACAAGGCTTTGCACACAATGAAAGTTCATTGGCAAAATGACTGATATCCAATATAGCCAAACTTAAATGTTGCAAATTATTAAATCTGTAATTTGCTATAGATTTATGCAGTAGAAGTAAATAGATTCTACATTTTGACTCCAACAAATATAAAGGATCGGGAGAGGAGCTGTTTTGTTAATATCCTCAAAAGTAACTTCCCCTTCAATTAGTTAAGCCTTCTTTGTAATGTGGAGATATTTGAATATTCTCACTTTTCTAGTAACTTATTTTCCCCAAAAATAATTCAGTCCACTTAGATTTTCATTGCTTTCTAGGATCCAGAAAGCACGGGCATTTTACTGTACTTGTCCTCATGACCAGGACAAATGACCATATTCTTCTGGCTCCACATTACTGAAATTAAGTCCAGGACTAGACTTCCATAGCCACTTTGTCTGCTAGTCTGTGTTCAATTAAAAGAAAATTGTAATTCCTTCCAGCAACTTGCCTAAAAGGAAGACTACAAGTGAAAGCATCTTCAACTGTGTTATTCAAATAGAAATTTCACTCAAACCTTTGTAGCTACTTGAACTTTTTTGGCTACAAAACAGTTACATAACACGTTGCACTGAACAGCAAAAATTAACAGCAAAAGGTATTTTCTCAATATGTTTGATGACACTGGATGTACAGGAGAGTCAATATTTGAGCAAAAAGAAAAATTAGGAATCATTTCCAACTTAGTTTCTCTTTTGTTTTATTAAATACTCAGAATAAGAGATACAACCTATATTGTTTATCAGTGAATGATAACGTTTCCAAACTGAATGTTATTGTTTGGTGAAAAACTTTGAATATATGCATAATTGTAAAAGATAAAGTCATTAATTTAGTCATATGCTTTCCAAATAATGTTGGTGATATGAGTAAATCTAAATTTGATAAATCAAAAAGAAATTAAATAAGCATTTATGATGTATTTATTTCATGAACTAAATATAAGAGCAGTTTTGATTAAACATGAAAAACTTGACCTCCAAGCCACCAGATGGGCTTGCTATTTTCCAGCCAACATTTTCCTCCTTTATGATGATCCAATATTTCTGACTTTCTTACACCACAATTAACCTTTAAAGTTATTTTGAAGTACAATGAGATTTCTTTATTTTTCTCTCTTTTAAGAAGGGAAGGATGGGATTTTTTTTTTCTTCTTCTTCTTTCCCTTTCTGGCAGTAATAGTAAACTGAGACAGTTTTCTAAGAAGTGGAAATCATGCTGTAAGCAAAAGTTCCTACAAGACAAAGATTCCTAAAAAATAGTCTTTATTTTTCCAATGGATACTGGCTACATTTACAATTTCTATTTCCAAGAACAACTTCACTAAAGCAAGGTTTCCTTGCAACTGAAATCACCAGACACAATGACTAAAACCAACAAATGCTTCTCTTCTGCCTTAGTAAAATGGTAGCTTGACCCACAACTCTCCTCTTTCACAGGATGAATTTGGACATCTAAACCAATTACCCTATACAGGGTTGCTATGAGTTGGCATCAACTTGAAGGCACTTAAAAACAACAACAACAAACCAGCTCTGGGTTTAAATGAGCCCTGGTATGGCACTGTAGGATAAGCACTGACTGATAAGTGCATGGTCAGCAGTTCAAACCCACCAGCTGCTTTTAGAAAACTTGTACTAAGTGGCTAAGAGTTGGACCCGACTTGACAACATACAGCAATAACTAAATCAGTGACATAACCTATATTCTTAATGACTATAGTAGTAAGTGCCATCAAGTTGATTCTGAGTCATAGCGACTTTGCACAGGGTTTCCAAGGAGTGCCTATTGAATTAGAACTGCCAACGGTATGGTTAGAAGTCCAGTGCTTATCTTACAGTGCCACACCAGGCTCCATTCTTAATGGATAGAATAAAACATGAAAATTTGACAACAATATTTAGAAGACCTGGCATTGAAAAAAGTTAATTAGAAAAGCTCTAGAAATGTGAGGAACAGGAACTGAACACTTCAGATGACGTTCAATTGATGTTGAGCATTTACTATCGAATTTCTTGTATTTTGAATATTGTTTTGACAATTAAATACTGCCATTATATGTACCATGTATTGATGCTCTGACAAGAAAGTTACCTATCAAAGATCCAAGCAGAGGCAAATTAATATTGGTCATAATGTACAAAAACTTCCATCTGTTTCTTAGGTCTATTCTCTATGATAACATTAGTATTCAATAATTACATTATAGATTTAATAACAAATAATGAATTCCAGAAATAGTTTGGTCTTTCTTATTAGTAATGGTTTCTGCAAATTCTATATTAGTAATGGTTTCTGCAAATTCTATTGTGACACATAAAAAACTGAACACGCTCAAAAACTGTAATAGATTTGGAATAGGAGGCCTTTCTAAAGATCTCTGGTTGGTGGTTGAATGTTTGCAAGCCCTGATCTCATTATAAATTCTGAAGTCATTTCAGAGTGGCCTCTGAGGGTAAGGAAAAAGGTAAAAAAACTTTCCAGAACATTAACAGGGTATTCATTTTAATACTCACCATGGCCCAATACCTTAAATCATTCACACATTAATTTGCTAATCCATTCATTCACTTTTCCTCATTTTTTTTTTTTTTTTCCCCAGTTAACTACCGTAAACTGGAGTCCTGATGTGGCGCTGTGGGTTAATGCACCAGATTGCAAGGCCGTTTGAACTGCAAAGTCAGCAGTTCAAGCTCACTAGCTGCTGCTCGGAAACCCTATACAGGTTCGCTACGGGTCGGAATCGACTCGACGGCACTTCACAACAACAAACATTAAATTAGGAGCTGGATCTTAATGAAATACTTAAGTTTTTTCAAGAAATAAACAAAAGAAGCAGTAATACTTACTTTCCAGTAATAAACTGACTCCTGGACGGTGTGCAAATAGGCTGGACATAGTAGTTCTCTAGTTTAACCCCTTCTGCAGCGAGCTTGTCAAGAGTGGGTGTCTTTATTTCAGATCCGTGGTAACCCACATCTCTAAATCCCTGATCATCCGCTAGGATGAAAATGAGATGGGGCTGGGAGGTGGAAGTTGTCCTGGGCTCCAGTCTTTCTCCAGCTTGAGCTCTCAGAGCCCCTTCCTCGTCCTCCTCTAAGCCTCGGGCCCAGGACAGGTAACCATAGGTGAGGAGACTGAGGACCCAGAAGCCTGTCAGCGCCCCCATGGCTAGCATCTTTCCCCGCCAGATCCAGGCCTGCGGAGGCGGTGAAGACTGCGGCCCCGCGCAGCCCCTAGGAGCCATTTACTGGGGTCCAAGTTTGTGCTCGGGGCGCAGAACCACGCACCCCGAGGCGCTGCCAGCGCACACATGCACACAGAAGGCTAGACAGAACAGCTGGTGGAGAGTCTTCACCAGGAAAGTTCTTGTTCTTGCAGCTATTAGCCTGTCTAATAAACTTAATCGTTTTCTTCTAAAACTGATGGTTCAACAGATGGGACGTCGGGAAAATAAGGAGGAGTCATTCTTCTCCATCAAATTTCATTTTTCTCTTTCTTCATCTTTCCCCTTCACTCCTCATAGCAGCTTCTTGAAAAAAAAAAAAAATTCTCAAAAGAAAATAATCAAATAAAGAATTGAGACGCGGCAGGAAGTTTCCTGGTCTACGCGCCCTCCACGTTGGGAACCAAAGCTCTACGGGGCACGCACGCACTGTGGGCGTTGGGATCCACTGTGTGTCCAGGGGTCTCTTCACCTGGAAAGCACTGGAAAGTTGAGCTGAAGTGTCCCGCTTTGTAGCTAACCAGCTGCCTGTAGTAGAAGAGCTGACCGACCACTTCCTCCACTTTTCCTGGGCGCTTTTTTTTTTTTTTTTTCCAGGTCCTCCTGAGGCGTTTGGGAATTTCCGGCACTCCTCAGGCGGCGAAGTGAGAAAAAAGCCCGGCTTCCCAATTTCCTTCTACAGCTATCCAACCCTCTCCCTGGAACTTTGGAGAACGTTGGCTGGAGCGTGTGGGGACTGAGCGAGTTTCTTGCCCCGCAGCTACTCAGCGCCGTGCTCTCTTGGTCTCAGCACAGTCAATGCACCCGGCGGGGTTGCCTGTAAGCTGCGTGCGTTTTGTCAGCTAACTTATTATTGAGTTTTGGCACTTAAGAGTTCTCTCTTGCCTCCTCCCTCTTTCTCCTCAATGAGTCACAGAACGGTACTTTCTGCTTTTGCTGCTCCAGGAAGAGTGGGGGGAGGCAGTAAAACCGGTTTAAAGGTTCCATCTTTCCTGTTTCTTTTCCTAGAGGGGAGTGTAGGAGGGAGAGGAGGTTTAGCCCTAGAGAGCAAAAGGGATCTTTGCAGATAGAGGGAGTGTAAGAAGCCGAGCAGAAACAGCAAAAAAGCATGACTTACTCTTTTCTCCTTCCTTTGGTTTTCCTTTATTAGTCAATCTTTCCCCTGACTCCCCTCTCACCTCCCCATTTTTCCTACTCCCTTTCTCCTTGTATTGTTGTTGTTGTTAGGTGCCTTGGAGTCAGTACCAGACTCATAGTGATCCTGTGCACAACAGAACGCAACATTGCCTGGTGCTGGGCCAACCTCAAAATCATTGCAACGCCTGAGCCCATCGCTGCCACCACTGTACCAATCCATCTCCTTGGGGGTCTTCTGCTTTTTCTCAGACCCTCCACTTTACCAAACATGATATCCTTCTACAGTGACTGGTCACGCCTGATAATATGTCCAAAGTCTGGCCATCCTGACTTCCAAGAGGCACTCTTCCAACACAGATCTGTTTGTTCTTTTGTCAGTCCATAGTACTTTGAATAATCTCTTCCAACACCATAACGCGAATGCATCAATTCTTCTACTGTCTCCCTTGTATTAATTTTTTTAACAGTCGCAGCTACAGTTGTTAAGTTGAATTTCCTCTCACAATAGTTGATCTTTACAGCCTGATTCCCTCATTAGCTTCTCCCTATAGCATGAAGATAACAAAATTTCTTACTACTTCCTAAAACCAAACTCACCTCCATCCTGTCAGTTCTGACTCATATCAACATTGTAGAATCCATCTTTAGGAGTTTCAAGGCTAAATCTTTATAGGAAGAGACACCCTTATCTGACTGGTAAGGGTGAAGCACAAATCTTGAGGTTAGCAACTGAACCGCCAGGGCTCCTTTACTTCCTCTTGATGTTGTTGTTAAATGAGCTAGTGTTGGTTTTGACTCATTGCAACCTTGAGTAGCCATTGGTGGGTTTGAACAGGGAAACTTGTAGCTAGTAGTCCAGTGCTTATCCTATAGCACCATACAGATTCCTTGCTTCATCTATTGTTGTTTTTGTTAAATGCCATCAAGTTGGTTCAGCTCATAGTGAACTGTCTCGGGTTTCCGAGACCCACTGGTAGGTTTGAATTGCTGACTTTGTGGTTAGAACTAACCTTGTGGTCCATTGCGTTATCCTACTGTCTGGTAGTGTAGTGGTTATGAATCGGGCTGCTAACCTCAAGGTCGGCAGTTCAAAACTGCCGCGGTTCTGCAAAAGAAATATGAGGCGGTCTGCTCCCGTAAAGATTTATAGCCTCAGAAACCCTGTGTAGGGTCACTATGAGTCAGAACCGACTCCACAGTACTTAACAACAACAGTACCACACCAGGACTGCTACTTCTTACCTTCTCCAGATTTACCCACAGGATGTCTCCAGCCAACCCCAAAATGTGAAGAATAAGAATCTTGAAGGCAGTCTTAGTTAAGAAAATTAGGCCAGTGGTTTCCCATCCAGTAATTTAGTAGCGTCATCATTTTTGCAAGACTATGTCTGCCCTTTCTGCCTGAATTGAGAAAAGCATTGAAAAACTTATTATTGTGAAAGTACTCTTGCTTTAACTAGAGTCATACATTTTTATGACTCTGCTCAAAAAGGAAAAGGGATTTATATCTTTATAGCGAAGATCATCAATGCCAAGAGACTTTGAGTTGTTTCATTTTTTCTTCCCCAGTTCCATTCAATAGTAACTGAACACCTACTGGCCTGTAAAAAGTCAGATTCTCCCAGTTGACTAAACCATAAACTAGGCTTCTTTTAGTCATTTATTTTTGTGGGCTCTTTGAGTCTTTCCTATTAGTATTATTGTTGAAAGTATATCCAACAAAACATAAGCCAATTCAAAAATTTCTAAATGTATAATTCAGTGACATTGATAACATTTTTATGTTGAGCAATCATTCTCGACCTCTTTTTTCGAATGTTCGTCCCTTGTTATTAACTATTTACTTTTTATCTGTTCCAGTTGCTAAACTTCTTATGAAGTTTGCAGGAAAAGCATTTGTAAAATGAATGCTTAATTACCTTGAATCACACAGTGGTGCTTCATACAATTAATGTTGCTATCATGTGCTGGACTTTTGCTAGTCTAAGTTTTTCCCTATTGTCATTCTGATAAGTATATGGTTAGTTTTCGAAAAGTTTAAAAATGGATTCTTAACAATTCTGAGTTAAATCGCTAGATACATAATGTGTGTATGGAATTGTTGTTGTTAAGTGCCATTGAGTGGGTCCTGACCCATAGCGACCCTGTATAGGGTTTCCGAGGAGCAGCTGGTGAACTTGAACCACCAACCTTGCAGTTCAAATGGCTTTGAAGTCTAGTGCATTAACCCACAGTGCCACACCAGGATTCCATGTGTATGGAATTGTTGTTGTTGTTGTTAAGTGATGTCAAGTTGGTTCCAACCCATAGCGTCCATCTAGAGGGTTTCCAAGGAGTGACTAGTGAGCTTGAACTACCAACCTTGCAGTTTAAACTGATTTGTCTAATGCAATACATCATTTGATTTCTTGCCTGCTGCTTCCATGACTGTTGATGGTTGATCCAAGAAAAATGAAGTCCTTGACAACTTCAACCTTTTCTCCATGGATAAGCATGTTGTTTATTGGTTCAGTGGTGAGGATTTTTGTTTTCTTTACATTGAGATGCAATCCATACCAAAGGCTACGGTCTTTGATCTTCAGCAGTAAGTATTTTAAGTCCTCTTCACTTTCAGCAAGCAAGGTTGTAACATTTGCATGTCATATTGTTAATAAGTCTTCCTCCACATCAAACAATTGAAAATATCATGGCCTAGCTCAGACAAAAGGAGCTCTGGTAGCATAATGGTTATGAGTCAGGCTGGTAATCTCAAAGTCAGCAGTTTGACTCTACCAGTGGTTCTGAAGGAAAAGGGATGAGGCTTTCTACTCCCATAAAGATTTACAGTCTTGATAACCCTCTACATGGTCACTATGAGTTGGAACTGACTCCACTGCACATATCCACAAACCATCACACAATTACCACTGCCAGGTTGGAGTAGGAAGAAGGAGAGACAGATTACTTCCAAATATTTAGTGACTGAAAACATGAATAGCAGTAGAACACTGTCAGTACCAGAATAGTGGATACTGAAACATGATGAAGAGCACTAGTGTGTTGTCAAATACAGTGTCTTGAAAATGAACCCCTGATGTTGGAAGGCACTCAAAATACAACTGGGAAAGAGCTGCCTCCTCAAAATAGAGTTGACTGTGATGATGTGAATGTAGTAAATCTTTAGGGACCTTCAATTGCTGATGGGACACAACTCAAAATGTGGAGAAACAGCTGTAAACATCCATCAATATTCAGAACATAGAATGTATGAGGTATAAATCTAGGAAAATTGGAAGCTATTAAAAATTAAATTGAATGCATAAACATTAATATCTTAGGCATTAGTAAGCTGAAATGGATTGGGATGAGCCATTTTGAATGTGACAGTCTGACATGGTTTGCTATGCCAGAAATGAAAATGGAAGAGGTATATCATCACATTCATCATCAAAATAAATATTTCAAGATGTGTCTTGAAGTACAATGCTGACTACGATAGGAAAGGATCCATAGGCCTACAAGGAGGACCAGTTAATACAACTATTATTCAAATTTACGCATCAAACACTAAAGCCAATGATAATGGAATTGAAGAATTCTACCAGTTTCTTCTTGTGAAGTTGATCCATCACAACAACAATGCCTGTCACCATAGTATGACAAACTGACACACAAGTGTATCAGGATATAGACCACTATGTAGCACAAGGTTGGCAGTTCAAACCCACAAGCCACTCCTTGGAAACCCTATACAGGGTCGCTGTAAGTCAGAACCGACTCCACAGCACTTAGGAATAACAATAACAACAATGTAGAACATAGCTAAAACTAATCCAAACCACTGCCTTGGAATTGATCCAGACTCATAAAAAGGGTTTTGGAGACCATAAATCCTTGGTGTGGTACTGTAGGATAACCACTGGACTGATATCCACAAGTTCAGTAGTTGAAATCCATCTGCTACTTTTTGGAAACCCTATACAGAGTCTCTATGAATAGGAACTGACAACAACAACAGCAACAGATATTTATGGGAGCATACAGCCTCATTTTTCTCCTGCAAAATAACTTGTCCCATTATATAGCATATGGTATATAATACATATACATATATCCATATACATAAACCCAACAGCCACTCCTCAGAAACTATATAGGGCAGGTATAGTCAGAATCTACTTAATGGT